TCAGCCTCCCAAACTGCTGGGATTACAGGTGTGAGCCACATTGCCCGGCCCATTCAGATAAAGTTTTATTAACTCTATGAAGATTTGCTAAATGGCAAATATGACATTTTCAAATAGTTTTGTGATGTCCAGAAAAAATAATATATTAGGAATTTTCATAACAAAATAAGACAAAATGATACTTGTGATATTATTACAAAATATTTTTATTATTTCATGTATATCATAAATTTAATAAATCTTAAAATATTATAAATATGCTACAGGTTCTCAAAACTGAAAAAGAAAAAAAGAAAAATAACTAAATCATTCAAAATTGGCTCTTTTTTTTGTTTTAAAAGTAAAGCTGAAGGCTAATCATATGGATAATACAACTAGACCCCTACCTGTATTAATACAATTACAATTTGACATGAGATTTGGGTGGGGATTCAGAGTCAAACCACATCATTCTGCTCCTGGCCCTCACAACAAACCTAATGTCCTAGTCACATTTCTTTTTTCTTCTTCTTTTTTTTTTTTTTTTAAGATGGAGTCTCACTCTGTTGCTTAGGCTGGAGTGCAGTGGTGCGATCTCTGCTCACTGCAACCTCCACCTTCCGAGTTCCAGCAATTCTCCCACCTCAGCCTTTCAAGTAGCTGGGATTACAGGCATGCACTACATGCTTGGCTAATTTTTTGTATTTAGTAGATATGGTGTTTCGCCATGTTGGTCAGGCTGGTCTCAAACACCTGACCTCAGGTGATCCACCCACCTCAGCCTCCCAAAGTGCTGGGATTACAGGTGTGAGCCACCGTGCCCAGCCTCCTAGTCACATTTCAAAACACAATCATCCCTTTTCAACAGTCCCCCAAAATCTCTTTTTTTTTTTTTTTTTTTTTTTGAGGCAGAGTCTCACTTTGTGGCCCAAGCTGTAGTGCAATGGCGTGATCTCAGCTCAACACAACCTCTGCTGCCCAGGTTCGAGTGACTCTCCTGCCTCAGCCTACCGAGTAGCTGGGATTATAGGCACCCACTACCACACCTGGCTAATTTTTGTATTTTTAGTAGAGACAGAGTTTCACCATGTTGGCCAGGCTGGTTGTGAACTCCTGACCTCAAGTGATCTGCCTGCCTTGGCCTCCCAAAGTGCCAGGATTATAGGCATGAGCCACCACGCCTGGCCTGCTCCCCCAAATTCTTAACTCATTTCAGCATAAACTTAAAAGTCCAGTCCAAATTCTCATCTAAGACAAGGCAATTCTCTTCTACCTATGAGCTTGTAAAATCAAAAATGATTTAGTCACTTCCAAGATACAATGGGTATGCAGGCATTGGGTAAATTCTCCTGTTCCAAAAGGGGGAAATTGGCCAAAGTAAAGGAGCTCCAGGTCTTATGCAATTCCAAAACCCAGCAGGTCAGTCATTAAACGTTAAAGCTCCAAAATAATTCCCTTGGCCGGGCGCGGTGGCTCAAGCCTGTAATCCCAGCACTTTGGGAGGCCGAGATGGGTGGATCACGAGGTCAGGAGATCAAGACCATCCTGGCTAACACAGTGAAACCCCGTCTCTACTTAAAAAAATACGAAAAACTAGCCGGGCGAGGTAGCGGGCGCCTGTAGTCCCAGCCACTCGGGAGGCTGTGGCAGGAGAATGGCGTAAACCCGGGAGGCGGAGCTTGCAGTGAGCTGAGATCCCGCCACTGCACTCCAGCCCCGGCGACAGAGCGAGACTCCGTCTCAAATAAAAATAAATAAATAAATAAACAAAATAATTCCCTTCAACTCCATGTCTCATATGTAGGCCACCATGATGAAAGGGGTGAGCTCCCAAGGCCTTAGGCATCTCCACCCCTGTAATCTGCAGAGCACAGCCCCTGCAGCTGCTTTCACAAGCTGGCATTGAGTGCCTATGACTTTTCCATCCAACTCATATAAACTTACTTAACCTTAATCACTTTCTAAAATTGCTGTTTTCAAATAGAATCACATTGGAGGTTATGGCTTACCATATGAATTTTGATAGAAACTTAATTCAATCTAAATCAGGGGAAATAACCATATAGAGGTAATATTTTATATCTCACTGGAATATAAATGTTTTTATTTTTTATTTTTTGAAATGGAGTCTCGCTCTGTGGCCCAGGCTGGAGTGCAGTGGCGCAATCTCGGCTCACTGCAAGCTCTGCCTCTCGGGTTCATGCTATTCTTCTGCCTCAGCCTCCAGAGCAACTGGGACTACAGGCACCCACACCACGCCTGGCTAATTTTTTGTATTTTTAGTAGAGACAGGGTTTCACCATGCTAGCCAGATGGTCTCAATCTCCTGACCTCGTGATCTGCACACCTCGGCCTCCCAAAGTGCTGGGATTACAGGCGTGAGCCACTGCACTGAGCCAAATTAATATAAATATGAAGCAGATTCTGGTAAGTTAAGATGTACATTGGCCGGGCGCGGTGGCTCAAGCCTGTAATCCCAGCACTTTGGGAGGCCGAGACGGGCGGATCACGAGGTCAGGAGTTCGAGACCATCCTGGCTAACACGGTGAAACCCGGTCTCTACTAAAAAATACAAAAAACTAGCTGGGCGAGGTGGCGGGTGCCTGTAGTCCCGGCTACTCGGGAGGCTGAGGCAGGAGAATGGCGTGAACCCGGGAGGCGGAGCTTGCAGTGAGCTGAGATCCGGCCACTGCACTCCACCCCGGGCGATACAGCGAGACTCCGTCTCAAAAAAAAAAAAAAAAAGATGTACATTATAAGGCCTAGAGAAATAAGGAAGTAACTTTAAAAACATTAACAAATACTATGGAAATCTAAAGATGACGTGGAAAGTATCTAATATAAAAGAAAGCAGTTAAGAAAGACTAGCCTGGGCATGGTGGCTCACGCCTGTAATCCAGCACTTTGGGAGGCTGAGGTGGGTGGATCACAAGGTCAGGAGTTCAAGACCAGCCTGGCCAAGATGGTGAAAACTCATCTGTACCACAAATACAAAAATTAGCCAGGCTTGGTGGCAGGTGCCTGTAATCCCAGCTACTTGGGAGGCTGAGGCAGAGAATTACTTGAACCCAGGAAGTAGAGATTGCGGTGAGCCAAGATTGTGCCACTGCACTCCAACCTGGGAGACTGAGTGAGGCTGCATCTCAAAAAAAAAAAAGAAAGAAAGAAAGAAAGACTAAAGACAGTTCTAAAACTAGAAAAAGACTAGAGTGTGGCTGAGGACACATGGCCCAATAAAGTTTCCAAAGGAAAACCTCAATTCAGATATGTCCTGGCAAGGCATTTGTGCCTATGGAAGATAAAAGGAGAAAAAGTGGGAAAATTTTTGATGGTGGAATGTAAGGGGATTATTCTTTACTTTTCTCTCACGTAAAATATTTACAAATAGAAAACAAGTATTTTCAAAAGTGTCATCCACTGCTCTGTGAAAAAGTGATTAATTAAAATACTGTTTCTGAAATGTACAATAAAGGACAAAAATAGTTGATAATGTTGTGAATTGAAGGGGAGAAGTTCGTTTTGGGGAGTATTGGAAAGAAACCAGGAATTTAAAAGTTTACTGCAAGTCTGGCAAGGATTTTACTAGCAAGACTGAACAGGACAGAGTAGTGGATTTGAGACCCTGCTTGCCACACATGAGGAAAATGCAGGGTGACACCAGTGCCTCTGATTAAAGTTAAAATAATTAAATAGCAAGTAATTGGACTGAAGTGGCTCTAGCAGTCTAAGTTCCTATGTAACAACAACAACAATAAAATATAACTCAGATGTATTTTTCGTAAGTTACTACCTTAAGAGAAAACAAAATTCAGGCTTAATCAACCACAAATCTTCAACTAATCTGATTACATAATGAAAAAATTTTCTCCCAGACACTGCAAATGAAGAGACTACTTAACTGTACCCAGTTGATTAATTTGCTTTGCTTCATCACATACCTTATAGAAGCCTTTTCTTCAAGACCCTCTGGTAGACCCAAAACCACAAACGTGGGGCACAGTGGCTCAAGCCTGTAATCCCAGCACTTTGGGTGGCTGAGGTGGGCGGATCACCTGAGGTTGGGAGTTCGAGACCAGCCTGACCAACACAGAGAAACCCCCGTCTCTACTACAAATACAAAATTAGCCGAGTTTGGTGGTGCATGTCTGTAATCTAGCTAGGGCGTGGGAGGCTGAGGCAGGAGAATCGCTTGAACCCGGAGGCGGAGGTTGCGGTGAGCCGAGATCACCCCATTGCACTCCAGCCTGGGCAACAACAGCGAAACTGCATCACAAAACAAAACAAAAACCCCACAAACCATGTCTGAGGACTATCCCATTGATTAATCACTGTGTATATTGTCTTTTTCTTGGCTAATTTTTTTTACTTTTAGTAGAGATAGGGTTTCTCCATGTTGGTCAGGCTGGTCTGGAACTCCCGACCTCAGGTAATCCGCCCACTTCGGCCTCTAGAAGTGTTGGGATTACAGACGTGAGCCACCGTGCCCAGCCAATTTTTGTATTTTTAGAAGCGATGGGGTTTCACCATGTTGGTCACGCTGGTCTTGAACTCCTGACCTTGTGATCTGTCACCCTCGGCCTCCCAAAGTGCTGGAATTACAGGCGTGAACTACCGCGCCCAGCCATGTTAACTCTTTAATGGTGCTTCAGTTTATTTTTGAACAGGGTAAAGTAGGAACTGGGGACCCCACAGGCCGCAGCTCCTTCCACGCAGGAGCCCTGCACACCCAGTAGGCGTCTTTCCCTGATGACCCTCTCCTCATCACCTCACAACCTGGGGAAGATAAGGGGCTGCGGGCGCAGAGCTGCGCAAAGAGGGCTACAGGCTGGGGCTAAAGCCTCTGTGCTGAACGGTAAAGGACGCCCCGGGGTCCCTGCACCGGAGGAGAGTGAGGGCTGAGCTGCGGGGCATTCAGGCTCACAGACCGTCCCGCCACCGCCATTTCTGGCGGGTCCCAAAGAGGCCTCCCCCCTCTCCGAACACCCTGCCCCGTCTCCGAACACCCTGCCCCGCACACTCACCTTTTCTCGGCTTCAGGAATGCCCTGGAGTCTATGAATCTTCCAACACCATCAGGTGATGGAGGCTGAGACTGGCCGAATCACCGAGACCTCGGAAAGAGGACACAAGGCAGTGAAGAGCTAACCTCGAGCTCTGGCTGGAGCAAGAGACAAACGCCCCGCCAGGTACCCGCCCTGAGTGGATAGAGCTCCAGGCTCCGCGCCCTCAGACCTTGAGTGACAGAAGACCCGACCAGACGTTGCACTGAATAAGGCGAGCGTGACAGGCTCTTGGCTCCAGTCATTTTAGGAGGGACTTTCTCTCTGGGCTGGGCCAGGGGTTATTTTAAATCTTGTGTATAAGGTTATATCCATTTATAAATTTTATTCATACACACATATATATTGTTCACAAATGGAAACACTATAATAATTATTTTTAAATTTAACATTTCATAAGCTTTCTGACCTTTGGTCTTTTGAGTAGGCAACCTGGGATTTTAAAAGAAAAGCAGGGCTGGGAGTGATGACACCAAGAAGAAAAGAAGTTTATAGAATCCAAAAAAGAAATAAGAAAAAGTCGGGGCATGGTGGCTCAAGCCTGTAATCCCAGCACTTTGGGAGACCCAGGCGACCAGATCACCTGAGGTCGGGAGTTCGAGACCAGCCTGGCCAACATGGTGAAACCCTGTCTCTACTAAAAAATACAAAAATTAGCCAGGCGTGGTGGCAGGCGCCTTAATGCCAGCTACTTGGGAGGCAGAAACAGGAGAATCGTTTGAACCCAGGAGGTGGAGGTTGCAGTGAGCCGAGATCGAGCCATTACACTCAAGCCTGGGGGACAAGAGTGAGACTTCTCTCAAAAAAAAAAAAAAAAAAAAGAAATAAGAAAAAAAATCTCTTTAACTTAAAAACACACACAACTTCAGAGAAAACATCTGAGAATGTAAAACACCCAGCATCTATAGCCTGGCTGATTGCTGTCAGTATCCCACCTTTACTAAGCCAGTCTTTAAATGCTAGATTAGATGGCTGTTGTATAAATCCTCAGATCTCACTTTAAAAAAAAAATCACAGGGCATATAGAAAAGACAGGAAATATGTCCCACTTGAAGGAGCAAAATAATATCCAGAAATTGAATCTTAAGAAGTGAAGTTTTTGCATATCTGATAAAGAATCCAAAATATTTGGCCGGGCATGGTGGCTTATGCCTGTAATCCCAGCACTTTGGGAAGCCGAGGCAGGTGGATCACGAGGTCAAGAGTTCAAGACCAGCCTGGCCAATGTGGTGAAACCTGGTCTCTACTAAAAATACAAAATAATCCGCCAGATGCGGTGGCTCATGCCTGTAATCCCAGCACTTTGGGAGGCTAAGGCGGGAGGATCATGAGGTCAGGAGATCGAGACCATACTGGCTAACATGGTGAAACCCTGTCTCTACTGAAAAAAATACAAAAAATTAGACGGGCGTGGTGGCGGGTGCCCGCAGTCCCAGCCACTCGGGAGGCTGAGGCAGGAGAATGGCGTGAACCTGGGAGGCAGAGCTTGCAGTGAACCCAAATCGCACCACTGCACTCCAGCCTGGGCGACAGAGCGAGACTCCATCTCAAAAATAAATAAATAAATAAATAATCATCATCTTAGCATGCTAAGTGAACAAAAATAAAACACAAATAGACAACTAAATGAGATTTAGAAATGAATGAGTGAAATGAAATATCAAAGATATAAAAACTTTTTAAAATTTTTAATTAATTTATTTTTTTAGACGGAGTCTTGCTCTATTGCCCAGGCTGGAATGCAATGGTGCGATCTCAGCTCACTGCAACCTCTGCCTCCTGGGTTCAAGCGATTCTCCTGCCTCAGCCTCCCGAGTGGCTCGGATTACAGGCACCTGCCACCGCGCCCGGCAATTTTTGTATTTTTAGTAGAGACAGGGTTTCACCATCTTGGCCAGGCTGGTCTTGAACTCCTGACCTTGTGATCCACCTGCCACAGCCTCCCAAAGTGCTGGGATTACAGGCATGAGCCACCATGCCCAACCAGCAGGCCGGTTTTCTTGTAGACAATGAAAGCAAGGAAAGCTGGAATGAGCCCAGCCCTATCAGGCACCCTGAAGGCTGCCTGGGGTTGCCTGCAAGGCCATCTAGTCTTCTGCTTCCTGGCAGGCTGGCCAAGCACCTTTTCCTGGTCTTTTAGACTTTATTCCTGGAAGGAGAGGGCCCTCCTTTTCACTGGGCGGAGTGGCCAGGGCCATCCAGCCTCCCACCCTCCACTAACAACCATGGGGTGCCCTCCTGGGCACACGCTGCCCAGTTATAGCCCTTCTCAGGCAAGAGCTTATTTGTCTTACACTTTCAGCCTGCTGGGGCTTACAAGTTATCAGTGCTGTTATTAAGATAGAGAAATGAGGGGGGAAAGTTGCTTTAAAAATCTTCCATAATCTTACTATGGAAATCACCAGCGCAGATGCCAGCACAGGTGGGGCTGCTGAGGATGCTGGGGGAGAGTTCCCAGCCTGTCCTGGCAGCCGGTCCTTGCCAGGGATAGCTCATGCCCCAGCCCCTGAGAGAAGCAGGTAGACATCTCTGCAAGGAGCTGGGGGCTACGGCTCAGGACAGCCAAGTCCCACCGGTGGTGCAGTGGGGCTACCTCCCATCAGACTGTGTCTCCTCCACAGCAGACCTTGGAGCCAGGAGGTGATTTACAGTGTGTGTAAGGTAGTAAGCTCCATCAGTTGCACGGCCCTCAACACTCACTTCAACATTCACTTCAACTCTGATATCTCACCACAGAAGCAATGGGGACTGGCACGTGCAGAAGCCCTGCAAAGTGGAACAGAGCCTCATGTGCCGGGGGGTGGGAGGGGAGCGAGGGTGGGTTCTGGGTCCTCGGTGCTGGTTGGCCTGTCTGCCCATCTGAGCACTGTTCCCTGGGAGTGTGCTCTGCAGGCCTCCTAAAGGAAGGCTGTGAGCTCATCACTGAGACCCTGAGCACCTCCTTGCTCCTCCCCACTACATTACTGGTGACTATGCTGAGATGGGCCTCGAGCACCCTCTGGGCGGTGTCATCAAAGGTCTTTGGGCCTGGCCTGGCACTGAGGGATGACAAATGAGGAGTCTGGAGTTTCATTGTCACCCTCTATGGTAGCAGGACATGGGAGAGTCCAGGCCTGCACGACTGGAACCCTGTCAAGGGAGTTAGGAGGCTGTTCACTTCCCCTCCGGACCCCATGTGGAGGAGTGGATGGAGTCTAGGGAGACCCTGGGTAGTCACTTGTTCTGTCTTCCCCCAGTTCCACCCTTTGTTAACCATTTCCTTGGGAGAGCTCAGGATCTCCTGTGCTCTAGTGAGGTGGGGCCTCCCCTCACAGGGGAGGCGGTGTTCTGAGACTCTGTGAGTGAGAAGCTAGCACAGTGCCTGACAAGTACCTGTGGGAGCTGTCATCCTCTGTAACCACCATGCGGCCTGGTAGTATTCAGGCTGCCTGGCTTGTCCTAAGGCTTGGAGGGGCTTTTTGGGGGTCAGCTGCTTTACCGTCCCACCCTCTCCTCCATCAAAGTGGCTGTTTTTGTGTTTGTTTGTTTATGGGTTTTAAAACACCTAATACTTCATTTATAGTAGTTTCAGGCTTGCATGTGTGTATTTGTATAGATTTTATTAGAAGGAAAAGGACTTAAGATAACATTTTTAGAAGGTCTCCGGGGCGCATAGACTTCCATGTCACAGCAGCTGATGTTAACCTCCTTCTGTTGCCTTTGTGCAAAGTATAAATAGAAAGTGCAAGCCAGAGGTGCTGAGGCCCAGTGTCTAGAGCTGAGCCACTTGGGCTTGCTTGCTGGCCTGCAAGGACTCTGGGTGTGAGGTGTCACCCATCCTGGATCAACAGCCCCCACCCCTCTCCCCAGGTCCTGAGTAACCAACACAAGGCAGTGCTAATGAGCAGGTGAGAGATGGGCATCGAGCACCCAAAAACCACCCAGGAAGATCTGAATGCCATTTGGGCACAGGCTGTGTGGGGGCAGGGGCTGTGTGGGGGTAGGGGCTTGTCATGGTGCCACCCACAGATGCCCATGCCTTATGCTGCTTCCCCAGCAGTCAGCTGTCCATGGCCCTGAGCCGGTCACAACCATGCCTGCTACCTCATGCTGTTCGTGTTTGATGAAAACCATCCCAAGATGATGCTGCTGGATGTGAATGCTGGAAAGAGGGCGGTGCCTTTGTCCTAGGAGATTACGAGCTGACCAGATCCCTCCTGACTGCCCCCTAGGACAAGTGGGGGCTGGTGCTGCATTGAACGATGCCCCCCACCAGTAGATGTGTTTGCACTGGCTCAATGAATATACAATACAGAGGCATAAATGAAGACACGTGAATGGCATATGTGTACATCAGCTTGCGGCTGGGAAAAAGGTGCCTCTCGGGTCCCTCATTCTTCCCAGCAAGTGTGGAATGTGTCCATGCCCATGAGTGTGTAGATCTGTCCTTCTAAACTTGTGCACACCTTCAGGTCAGTTCTGAGTGAATGACATGCAAATGGGATTTCTCAGGTTATTTGTATGCTTCATATTATGGCTGCGGCTTTTGCTGCCACTACCCACAGGCCCAACCTGGTTTGAAGTTCAGGCTTTAGGTAAAAAAGATGGAGGGCCTCCTTGTATTCTGGGATGGAAGGTCAGAGACCTGTGGTAGGGCTAGGGGTTTGGGTACACTTTAATTTTGTGGCAGGATGAGAACTGCAGTGATTTTAATTGTGATTGGCCTGGACTGGTTGTGACTCTGGGTGACAGGTAGGGAGTCAGCAGTGGTGGTCCCCCAGACATCCATGTGCCTAGGCCTGACCTGACTGCCCTCAGACCCAGCAAAAAGGCACCAACCACAGCCTCTGACTTGCCTCCCTACTCCCTGCACCCCAGATGGGAATACCTTGGAGGCTACAATCTGAACGTATTATTCTCCGTGTCTTAACCAGACCTCCCTAACACACACTGAGGGTAGAGTGGGTTTGGGGCCTGGGGAGAACCAGGGCTGAATCATGAATCCTGGGGGTATGTTAAAGATAGAGGAGTGGTTGTCACCGCTCTGTTGAGCCCAGCTTCCTACCTGGTCCTGACCACACAGCCCCTCAGATAGGGACTAGCTCTGTGAGTAGTTGGGGATCCCTATAGGCCCAGGCTGCTCTCTGTCCCC